CGTTATTCGTAACAAGTTTATGGGCTTCGCTTTGATACTCATCTGCATACATAATGAGTTCCATTGGACTTGGTCGTCTGATAACTTATCCCACAATGTGATGGCGGTAGATTCAGGGATATTTGAGCATACAACAGTCCGAGCACTGTTGTGGGACCTCTTTGCAATCGATCTACAATTATGGTACTCATTTCTCCTGACTTGTTGACAAGTGATTGCTTGCTCTTTTTCTCTATATTTGCGTTAACGGTGTTTACAATGGCAGAGGACGCAACGGCGGCCTTTTGGTGGACCGTTGCAGCAATCTCTGCATATGTAACCGATGTTCTAGGAGGCTTAGTCTCGACAAGAGATATTTGAGCTAGAGGTACCAAGGATTGGTGTTTGGCTGCTTCATCCTTGTTAATACTAGATATCAGGTCTAGTGGAATTTGCTTGACCAGACGTTTTGAATGGTGCCTGATTTTCGTTGCTCTGAGTACTGCTTGATTCACGTAGGTACAGTCTGTTTTTGCCCGGCGTTCTACCAAAGTTGGAGAAGACAACGGATATGGAGACATGGCTGATTGCGGTGCAGGCGAATCGATTTGTTCAGCATTCCGTTGCTTAGCAGCCTCTACGCTTCTGTGGTCCATACTCGCTCCCATTGAAGTAATCTCATTGTTTATCCTCTGCTCTGCTTCTGCGATTAACCGGTCGCATTTCTCAGCTAGGATAAGCAAGCGCTTAACGAGGGGGATAGTGGAACAGCAGTAATGAACAAAAATGCATCTTGGGAGCTATTTCGCTCCCGTAACTGTTGTTGGGACACATCTGCATATTTCGTATGGTACCATTCCAAACAGTGCAAACAAGCTAGACCGATTTTTACTACCCGATGACATTCTCCTAACCCGCAAATGCCTTTCGATGGGAGTCTCTTCGGTTTCGCCTTTCTGCCATTCAATTTGGTGTCGTTACCTGACCCAGTGGGTTGGTTAACGTTCTGTACTTTTACAGCTTTGAGAGCGGCGCATATCGGTCAGGCGAGCGTGGTGGTTGCAAGGTCAAATGAGCGGTCGGGGTGGTCGCGCTGTCCGTGTGATGTATCATTCAGCCACACTGGCTGACAAGGTCACAAGGAATGGCGAGTGACTGCAACCTGAACAGAGCGCTGAACACAGATTATTTCACAGCTGTGTTGAGAAACACTGGATCAGAGTAAGCTTAGGCTTTTCGGCCTGCCTCGAGAATTCTGTATCGAATGGTGTCACACAGAATGGCAATCGGCTCAATACGACTGAATTAAACGCTTACCCTTTATCACAGATGCCAGTGAAAATGTTAGTGATGGCACAGCCTCTAATCGTAGAAGATATTTCCACGTATGATGGATCACTGTGTAGAGTTGGTAAATCCGGTTCG